CTCTCGCCTACTTTTCCTACCTCATCATCCCCCCAGCTTCACTAACCCTTCTCCTGGCTAATGCCTTCTTGTCTTTACAGATGCATTTTGCCTGTGACCTCGCCTTGCCAGGTTCCCCTGATCTGTTTATCCTAAGTCCCCAAGGCAGAGGTGGGTGCTCCTCTTTTGTGCTTCCATGCTCATGACCAATGACCAGAGTGTCTATTTTCTCCAACATGATTATGGCCTCCTTAAGGACAGAGGGTCGTCTTACCTGTTACGCAACCCTAGCTCCTGGCAGCGTGGTTGGAACTTAGTCATTCCTTGTCGAGCGTGAACTTTTCCTGTGAAGAGCAGAGGAGAAGTCTTTAGACTGTGTAGACCACAGGTAGGGTCTCTTTTTCTCCTTCTTCCCCTTCCAACTCCCATTTTAAAAAAATGTGAGGACCATTCTAAGAGGGCTAAGAAAACCAGCTGTGGACCTGAAGTTCAGTATACTGCCTCCACCGTCATTAGGAAAGATATTTCTAAACAAAACAAAACACACAAAAAAAACCCTCTTAATTCAGTGATTTCATGTGAGGGCCACACAGGCATTTCAACATGGAGGAGGTCCAGGGTGGGGGGATGATTTCAGTTGTCAGGAGCACTAGGGGGAGCTTAGCAACACTCAGTGTCCCCTAGCCAGGGGTGTTAAAGATTCAGCAATCTACCTGGTGTCTGATAGCAATGCCACGGCCCTGCAAATTTCCCCAAAGAAAAGACACTGGAGAATCACTTCCTTCTCAGATCCAATTTTTCTAGCAGTGTTGAGAAAGAGAAATGAGATCACAGGCCTGGACCCTGGAGGTAAGGACCCTTTTGGGTTCTCCCTGGGATCCCAGGCTCAGAGCCCCACATAGACTTCCATGCACCTGCATCTTGCCCACTGGGCTGCTGAGGCCTGGCAGGGGGCGGCGTCTCAGGGTTGGCTGTGGCTCACTACATCTTCTGAGGGCTGCGCTGGGCAGAGCTCGCCCTAAAGAGTCAGAAGGGGAGGGACTGGAAGATTTCCCGAAGGCTCAGAACTGAAACAGGGCTGCCTATGAATGAATCAGCATCTGTCTGTCTTGAGTAGGCCAGAGCCATATCTGACAGACCTGTCCCAGGATGAGTGGGAGCTCCAAGATGCAGGTTGTCAGGTTTCATATTGTATTTTATTCAAGACAGGCCCTCTCTAAGTTGCCGAGGGCCTTGCTAAATTGCAACTGGCTTTGAACTTGCATGTGCCCCCACACCTGGCTGCCCCCACCTCTCAATGCTATTACAATAGGTATTATATTCTAACATTTTTTTTTTGAGGGGAGGAGGTACCCAGATTATAGTGACTTTCTGTCCAATAACTCAGGGCAGCCCCCTGAACCTCCTCTTTCTCTTTCCATTCAACATCATTATATATCTGCACTTTAGACGCATGTAGGTACTTTAGTAAGATAGGTAATACTCTCAACATGAAAACTAATAAAATAGTAATCTAAACCCTTTTTTAAGTGCTAGTAGGCACTTTGGATATAGGAAAACCTAAAAAGGAACATATAAAATAAAAGGTTAAGTCATCCTTTTGAATAGCTTTATCCATAGTCCCCTAAGCCAAAGAGACCTTAGTTTTAGATTTGAACAAAAGAGACTAAGCCTGAGACTTCTTCAGTCCTTTATTAGCCATGAGTGAGTTCTTTACCCTCTTAGAGTCTTTAATACCCTATTTGTAAAACCAAAATGGTCAATCCCTTTCTAGCTTATTCCCCCACCCCCCGGGGTGATTTTTGGTAATCCAGAAGAGATGAAACATGTAGATGTCCTTTCTGAGCTAAAAAGCATCATAAAAAATACAAAATCCCTTAGGATATTTTGTTTTCACATAAATCAGAATCTGACTCTTCATAAAATTTCCTTGTGCTTCAGAGTTCTTCCTCTTTAGACCAAACTAGTTATTTGCATGAGAAAACAGGTCATATCGACCTTTCATGTTGGGCCCAGATGCTAAGGTAGAAGGATTAGTTTGGAATTCACAGAATGACGTGGAAGTTCCATGATAGAATTTCATAAAGCACTGGGGGGATTTATTCAGGCAGTTCACGTCCACATCAGTGACTACATTCTCCCCGCTATGGGAGGTGGCCTTGGGATTGTTGCTTTTCCCATGTCAGGGCAAATCCACAACGTAGGTGTTGTTATCCATTTTTCAGATAAGAAAACTAAGAGAGTTTAAGTAACTAGCTCAAGGAAATTTAATGAGAAATAAATCATGTTCTTTAAAATAAAAAATAAAGATTCTGTTAAAGCTAGTCATTTGAATCCTTGCTAGAAGGCTCTTTAAAACAAATATTTTTCCTGTCAAATCACCAACATATGCACAGTCCTCCTTCAGTTAAAAAACAAAATA